TTCTGCCAGGCAATCTTTCCCTGGAAATGAGATATCGTTCAATGTGTATAATTTTCATTCTTATGTGGTAAAAATACTAATAACCTCATTTCAATGGGCAATATAGTGAAATATTGGAACTTTATTGGCCTTTGAAATTACGTTATTGTACTATTATTACCACCTTGCCGGGCCTGTTCTAGGGGTATTCAGGGCTGTCAACTTGGGACCGTCTAACATGAGTGACTACCAAATGTTGAACACCTTCCTTCGAACTTTCGACAGCTTCAGTGAACACTGGTAGAATTTGGACACCTAAGGGTAGGTGTAAATTTTTTTCGAAACAAATGCGTGATATATACACATATTTTGTACAAAATGCGTGACATAAACGGAATGCGTTCGCTTTTTTCGCCATTCGGTATTTTACCATGTCGGCATTTCACAAAAAACGATTTTTAAAAATATCAACAAAATGCATGATTTGCGTGATATTTGATCGTACACGCTAAATGAATGCGTGATTTCTATTTTTCCAGCAAATGCGTGACAATCACGCCTAATGCGTGAGGGTTGACAGGGCAGGGTATTAGTGCTAGTTTAGAAGGCATTTATTTTACTGTATCGACCTGGGCAATATGTGACGTCATAATGGTGGGCCAATAATGCATTAACGCCGGCAATTTTCCCTGGGAAATTAGATATTGTTCAGTGCGTAAGATATTCTTTCAGTTCTTGCTATTTCAGCCCTGGGCATTAATGGTGGTAATAATACTAATGTTCAGCCCTCGGTCCAATATTACACTATATTGCCCGCAGAAATGATGTTATTGTACTATTCTTGAGTTTACAACTATGATTGCCCACAATTGATTGATTGAGGGGTTGATTATTTCTATCATTTTTGTGTTGCATTGCAAGTCACTCATGCAGTTACTTAAGGCATTGAACTCATGTGCCTTTATTGATTGTGTTGCAAGCCATTTATAACACCATTGTTTATAAATATTATTGATTCTGCCGCTACATGTGTATTGTCATTATTTCTCATCTTTGACATCCAAGAGACCAACTGAAACCTTGTAAATCAAAATGATCACTTATTGGTCTCAAAGTCATATTTATATTTTGTCCATTTCGGTGCTAACTCCCTTTCGTTTGGAATTTCCTGTGTTGCATCCATACACTGATGATTGCCCAAGGTAGTTGTAGAAGGCCACGCATTGTTAACTTGGTGAGATTGTCTACTCAACTGGCTCAATTTAACCTCATCAACTAATGCATCTGCAAGAATAGAAAATATGATTAATTTGACATTCTCACGAACATCATTGATAAATGATGATGAATTGCAAATGATTAGTTATTTTCTTTTTTCAATGATCAGGATTGACACCACAATTTAGACTTTCTGAATTGAATGGATCTATTCCATGTAAACAATAGTTAAAATGAATATTTCATGATTTGAATTGTCTTGTAATGTATGTTAAATAAGGGGAGATGTAGTTGCAAATGTTTATCATTTTTACTTTGACTCTCTTCAAGTGCTTCTCTTTGTTAAATTTGGAAAATGTGTGAACTAGCAGGCTCCTAACGTGAATGACAGTATAGTACGCAAAATAAAATTGAGGACGACTGGAATTGGTGAACTTAACCCATTTGCCAAATTAACGCAGGCACAAAACTAATTAGAAGTACAATAGTTGGTGTATAATGCTGCCAATTACATTGATCATTGGGGAATTCTTATTCTTTGTGGAATACTGAATCACTGAAACAAGAGAACATATTTTTTAAATATTTAATTTTTAGTATGTTTTTCTGTCTGTGCTATTACTTTAAAACATTTCTTTTTTTGTTGTTCCTTGACTTTATATCTGTTATGACAGAATCCTATAAGTCCCAAAATAATATGCTCATTGAGGACAATGAAATGTTACTTCATTTAGCACTGATATTAGTACTTCCAAATGAAATAATAGAGCTATGAGTGGAATGAACCAGCCCTAAAATAACATATTTTCAATGAAACTTTTTGCAAGGGTCAAGTTGGCAAAGTAACAATTTCAATCTGTAGAGTCGAGTTGTCACCTTGACAATTATTCAATGACTGACCTGCTTTGATGGATTATTGGTTATATAATGCAGTGCAGTTATATGAAATACTATGTGTCAGATTAGCTGGAATTGGACATACCTTACCTACCTATGTGTGAATTGACATTTAATAACTGAATATCTGATAAAATGAATTGAAATAAAAATGATTTGTACAATAGGCCCATTTCACAATTTACAGTATTATGATAGTACCACATGACTGCATTTGTTCAGATGTTATTTCCACATATTCATCATCAATTTTATGTCTTGCAAATATGCAGACCAATAACACTATGTAATACCATGACGGTTACGTCAAGGGATTTGCAATATTTTGTGGTAACGATGGTTATAAAGACTGAGTTAAATCTGACGTGTGGTCTACAAGAACCAAAATATAAGCTGTAAACCTACCGGCTGAGATATCCAAGTTCACAATTTTTAGTCCATCCTCATATGTTCTCAGTATATGTGCCTCAGAGCCACTCAAACTAACGTCCATCAATGTTTTGCCATTTACCGCAAATTCAAAATACATTATTATGGGTTAAGTAGAACATTTTAGGTGGTTTCCAATGCTTAATTGACTTTGAATGATCGTATGTAGGTTACATTTATATCCACCACGGTTGTCAGGCAATGAAGACCATGCCCTAACGAGGAAATTAAACAAATTACTAAATTTTATGTAGTTTTAAATTTCAAACTCGATAGTTTTTCGCTTATTTCATGTTATCCCCAAGCATCAATTTGCAAAGACTGCGTTCAAAATATACATACCTGAATGCATCACCGAATGCAACGCTTACATAAATCATTCATGCTTTCATTGATACACCTTAGCCTTAGCTTTCTGTTCCATCGTGGCCATTTTATTGGATAAATCAGTGAACGTAGCAGTCCAACCTCGTTTTGAGAGGTTGCGTAACCGTCATGGTAATACATGGTGAATAAGAAAGTTAGTGTTATATCTAATATAAAGCCCACTTTTATTTTAGTTTCACACTGCTTACATAATACATATTAAAATACATACTAAAATATCATAAAATAAATAACCAGGCGTATGAGAGGCTAAGAGGTAATTGTTAGAAAAGTCAATTTTGTCGAATATTAGTAAAATTGGACTGTTAGAATTGGTGGTTGGGAATTCACATATGGTAGGAAATGAATATTTTATGGCACATATATTTTAAGTTTTTCATTTTCAGATGCTTATAATTCCTAAACATACAGGTATTGTAGAAATTTTGATTTCAGTTATGAAATGTTTCAAACAAGCATGCATGTTCAGATTTTGTAGTACATAGTAGCATCCAGAGTAAATGTTCAGAGGTAAAGAAAATGAATATGTGAGTAATTCTTATTAAAATGATGGTATGTTTGTAGATTAAATGTATAGCATTATTTAAAAAGAGGTGTATTTAAATTTAAAAAGAGGTGTATTTAAAGTAACTTTCTATGATTTCATCTAAAAATTAAAACCCTTGGAAATACTAAATATGGTTTAAGTGCCATATATAAAAATTTATTTTAGAAATATTGTGGATCAAAATGAAAAAAAACAAAAATAAAGAATAAAAACATATTCCACTGGAGGGATTTGAACCCAGATATTTTGGAATAAAAGTCTGTTTGAGCCCAAAGCTCTAACCACTACACCAAACTGACAAAGCTTCCTAACAGAAGAAATTCTTTATGTTTATAATCATGGACGAAAAAAGTCTTATTTACATGCTTAAATTTCTTAAAAATGATCAGCATTACTACTAATAATAACATTTTGCATGTCTGAGTAAGTATTTTGATCTACATTTAGGATAAATGTTGTTTTATTCAGTTTTCATTTTGGGTATGACTTCCTGTCAAAACAGTGTTAAAAATGCAGGGCTCAACAAAAACTTTCAATTAGAAAATGATATATATCCTTTGATCAGCTGTTTTTGGCACCTGAACTCATCCTACTAGAAAGGTAAGAGCATTTTCTTGAGACATATGGCTCGAAATCTCACATTTCTCCTTCTAAGTCTTAGAAAGACACTTTAACACTTTTTACTGCTCATGCAGCAGGGGGCTTAAAGAATTAACATAGAATTTGAAAAGGAGTCAATTAAAATTTACCACATACTGTATTCAGCTTATCATGTGCACAGTTCTAAAATAATATTTTAATGATGCATCAAAATATTCATTTTTCAATTCAGAAGTAAGTAAGCAAGCAAGTAAAAGTACATCAACCTGATTAGTGATTTAAATTAAAATGAAAGTGAAATACAGTGTGTTCTAAATTTTAAAAAGAAACTTGTTTCATTATAGGCATGAAATATTGAAATAGTTTAAGGTAGTTATACACAGGTATGATTTGATGAGTGTTCAGTTTAAGGCCATATATCAAAAAAAGTTAACATTTGGTTAGTTTACACAAATTTGGATGGATGCAATAATTAACCATCAAATAATGTTTTAAAAAGATTTGTCACATTTAAATACCTGATTTAAAAAATTCTAGACAACAATATACAACAATCATCCTTTTGCAATTTTTGTGAAGACCAAAACCACAAAAGGGTGACATATGATTTTTATTTTCTTAAACTTTTAAAAGTTTCTTTGAAAAATAGGAAATCATTTCCCTGATGGATGCTACCCAAAATAATCTGAAGTATACATGTGTACATGATTTTAAGTTAAGTAAGTTGTATGTGATGGTGGGAGTATCACTACCTTAACATATATTAATATGATTAAATTTGTACGCATAAATATACTTGACATTACACATACTCGCCCTTTGTACTCACAGCAGGACTGGTAAGTAGCAAATATACACCTCATTATATTGAGATATAAGAATTTATACAGATTTTAAATCATTTATAAAACTTCAGAATGTATTAAAGTATTATATTACATTCATTCTCCCTTAACTACCCAAACCTACATGTAGTTAATTTAACATGCAAAGTTAAGCTGGAGTAATACAGTAAAATATTATATGATATTCTATGGTGGATGATCAGAGAGAAAATATATGCTTTCAATATAACATGAAGTCAACATATCAGCAAGCAAACTGTGATCTGCCATTATCAGTGTACACTTTTATATGAAAAAAATATGGACATTATGATATTCTAGCTGCCACAGGAGAGGCTGCAAGCAAAAATGGTTAAGTTAATGAGGAAATAAAGTATCATGACTACATGAAAATATTGAAATAGTTTTGTTTAGGTTTATAAAATTGGTATATAAAACTAAAAGCTGAAAATCATGTGATAGGACGATGACGTTTTTGTTAGGTTTTTGTACTATAACCACATTTTGTTCCATGGAGACTTTTGTAGGCTTTTGTTCATCAACAGCAGTGTCTATTCAAAGCGCTTTGAACCCTTTCAGGCTCACTTTATATTGATTGCACATATTTTGTATTAGAGACATTATACAAGAATATTTTTGCAATCTTTAGCAAAATATACAGCCAAATGTAAAGCAAAATATGCATGTATGTATGATATAAATGTGAAATGGAATCACAATGTTACAGGGTGACACAAAAAGTGCCACCAACATAATGTTGCATAACTTTTTTTCTGCAGGATTTTTGACTTTTTCTTTTGCACCTCAAAGGTTCCAATGACAAGCTCAACTAGATGAATTTTTATAAACGTTACAAAATGTGCTCTAAATATCATCCATTCCTTTGCTGGGAATCTTCTGGAATCTACTGGCAAAGTTGTTGAACACATTCACCTGACATGAACCCTCTAAATTTTTATCTGGGGGGTACTTGAAGGATCATGTGTATGTAACAAACCCCCATACCATAGAACAATTGAAGAGGCCATTTCTATGTAGCAATGTGTTAGGATTGTCAATTAACTTTGCTCATAGAATCCAGGTGTGCCTGAGATTTAGAGCACATCTAATAACACTCATAAAAGTACATCTAGTTGAGCTTAGTCATCTGAACCTTCTTGTGGAGTTGCTCTTATGAGTCTTGTTTTGATATCCAAAAGAAAAAGTCACAAATCCTGCAAACAAAAAAAGTTACACAACATTATGTGGGTGGCATTTTTTGTGTCACACTGTATTATTACAAACGAATATGACATAACAAAGCTCGCCTATGGCAATTGCTTAATCAAATTTATAATTCAAACTATTCTGATCAAACAATTTCAATTGTGTTTATTTCCTCCTGGCAATATCTAAACTGATTAATTAATTGCAAACAGTAATACCAGTTTGTGTTATAGTACTGTAAATTGGTTGATAGTTAATAACCAATATTTCCATATATTTTCAGGTTCCGTAACAAATGACGTTGGACGAGTATCTCAGTAAAGTAGTTAACAATATAAGCACCTTGATTACATTGCCTGAATCAAAACAGGTATGAAACTAGGCCACAAAATCTTGAAGAACTTATTAAAAAACCTACCAAAGCAATATAGGTCCGTCCAAGTTGTGCATATATGAAATAAGGAGATACCAACAGGATCAGTGTAACATGAGGATACATCCAAGAAGAGCTGTTACACTTGGTATAGTGATATGTACTGTTCTGGTGATTTTATTCAATTTATATTACATGGATGAATGGAAGCCAGGAGTTCAACAAAGACCATGGGGTTCTGACTTTGATCAGGGTAAACCTCTCAAACAGGTTTTACAGCCATTTCATGAACATGTGATACGTGAAGATATCGATGCAAATAACCATAAAGGAGGAGATGATAAAGCTGAGCCTCCAAAACATCGATCTCATTTCCAGATAGCAAATTATACGTATGGAGAAAAATATGGAGAATTTACTTCTAAGGAGTGTGGAGGACGTTTAGGGGACTGCATCAAAGACCATCACATTCGTGATCCTAATCCACCCATCTGGCCAGCTGATGTACCAAATGGAGATAGGATTGTTACTCAGCTTGGTCTTGTGCCTGACAGTGTCCGCAGACCAGCCGCAGAAAGACCTATCAAAAAAATAATTGCCTATAATGGTCTAGGAAACTGGGCCAAGCGTGGTCGTCAGACTTTAATTGACCAAAACTGTCCAGTAACAGAATGTGATATTTCAGATGATAGGAGCAAGGCTGCTCAAGCTGATGCTCTTCTTTTCCAACATTCCCTCGCTCAACCATTCCATAAACGTCCTCCAGGGCAGATATGGGCTGTCTATTTCTTAGAGTCACCCTATCACACCCCAGGTCTCACCAGATTCGCTAATCAGTTCAACTGGACTTCAACATACCGTCACGACTCGGATATAGTCGCGCCTTATGAGAAATTTGTGCCTTATAATGTTTCCCAGCTGACTAAACCACAGAATAAAAATTATGCAGCTGGAAAAACTAAAAAAGTAGCATGGTTCGTGTCAAACTGTGGAGCTAGAAATAACCGTAAACAATATGCAGAAGAGCTAGGAAAATATATTGAAGTTGATATATATGGCAGTTGTGGTGTTAAGAAATGTCCAAGATCTCAAAGTGGAAAATGCTTTGACATGTTAGATAATGATTATAAGTTTTATCTGTCATTTGAGAACTCAAACTGTAGGGATTACATAACAGAGAAATTCTACGTCAATGGTTTGGGGTAAGTACTTGTACTTTCACTAAAATGTCAGGTTGGTCATGTTTTCAACTGAAGGGTTGAGTGGAATTAAGGAATAAAGCCAGCTAACATTGAAATTATTTTTCAATATACATGTATCAAAAAATTAATCATTCACACATCATTTCTTGTGACATAAATCATGGCCATGCATAATTAAGAAAAACTATCAAGATATTTAAAAATTGCATTTTTTCTCATTCGCCTATGGCTAGTCTTATTACTGTGACGGGTAAAGCATTAGTCTCAAGAATGAAAAGGTTAACAGTATAATACTCACATAACTTTTGTCAAATTCTGATTTTTCCATTTACTGTCAAGCAATAAATCAAAAATGAAAAGTCAGATTTGACTCAAATTTCACTGTGGCCATTGAATTGGATCTATAAAATAGAGAAAATTATTAAAATGGCTGGATCAATTTAAAAAGGGCCCCATTTTTGGTTCAACTTGAAATTGGTTCGTTGGATAACTGTTTCCTGAGTTTGCTGTTTTTATTTTGCTAATTTATCCAGCTTTAATTTTAACACAGAATATTCATTCATTCATGACAGATGCAAACAAGGGCAGCATGCTTCAATAGCAAACACATATCTTTATTAGATTTGTTGCATTCGAATTAATTCATATGACATAATTTATAAGTGTAACCATGTGTTGCAATATCAAAATGTTAATCATGCAGTGTAGATATTTTAAATGATGAAAAGCACTAACACAATGCATTAGGCACATGTTAAATCATCAGTTTTGTATCTGTTTTGGTTCAGATCAATTACAGTATAGGTCATCAACAGGGGCGAAGCCAGCATTCAGTCAGGGGATGCGATCACATTTTCAGTCAGTCAGTTCAGTTTGTGACATAAACAAGCCCAAAATTTAAGATTTATTTTGAATTTTACAAAATTTGATGCAACTTCCGTCAAAGTTGAGCTAGAAGGCAGCTTCAAATAAAAAGCGTATTAAAGCTCTTTTCTTCTATCTCGTTTGTTACATTTTTATTGGTTATGGTTACTCCCCTGGCTACGCCTATGATCATTATACCAATGGGATGAGGGTATAATTTCTGATGACATAAGTCAACGATCTGGAAAAGACAGTTTACATTTTGTCTACACCAAAGTGTACACTTGAATATATTTTCAATACCAATTTTAGAGTTCATTTAGTTACAATCAGGTGAGATCAATAGTATGGTAATTTATATTTTATTTAAAAGGTAGGCTAATATCAATGTTTTCTGCCTATTGATTTAATACAAAAAAAAACTACTTAAAAAGGGCCCCATTTTTGGTTCAACTTGAAATTGGTTCGTTGGATAACTGTTTCCTGAGTTTGCTGTTTTTATTTTGCTAATTTATCCAGCTTTAATTTTAACACAGAATATTCATTCATTCATGACAGATGCAAACAAGGGCAGCATGCTTCAATAGCAAACACATATCTTTATTAGATTTGTTGCATTCGAATTAATTCATATGACATAATTTATAAGTGTAACCATGTGTTGCAATATCAAAATGTTAATCATGCAGTGTAGATATTTTAAATGATGAAAAGCACTAACACAATGCATTAGGCACATGTTAAATCATCAGTTTTGTATCTGTTTTGGTTCAGATCAATTACAGTATAGGTCATCAACAGGGGCGAAGCCAGCATTCAGTCAGGGGATGCGATCACATTTTCAGTCAGTCAGTTCAGTTTGTGACATAAACAAGCCCAAAATTTAAGATTTATTTTGAATTTTACAAAATTTGATGCAACTTCCGTCAAAGTTGAGCTAGAAGGCAGCTTCAAATAAAAAGCGTATTAAAGCTCTTTTCTTCTATCTCGTTTGTTACATTTTTATTGGTTATGGTTACTCCCCTGGCTACGCCTATGATCATTATACCAATGGGATGAGGGTATAATTTCTGATGACATAAGTCAACGATCTGGAAAAGACAGTTTACATTTTGTCTACACCAAAGTGTACACTTGAATATATTTTCAATACCAATTTTAGAGTTCATTTAGTTACAATCAGGTGAGATCAATAGTATGGTAATTTATATTTTATTTAAAAGGTAGGCTAATATCAATGTTTTCTGCCTATTGATTTAATACAAAAAAAACTACTTAACGATGAACAATACACTATAATAACCCAATACAATTATAATTCTATAAGTAATCTCACACCTGTTTTCCTTTTATTATAATGTTAATAATACATTTAATTCTCACCTTATTTTAAATATTCAACTTTGTTGCATTAACATGCCTGTTATTTGATACACCAGTCCTATTACCTATTTTCCTCTATTGATTTCGACAAAGACACAATATATTAGTTAAAATCTGTTTCTTTGAAAATCCTCTTTTTGTTAAAATTACATGTAAAATTAAAATTTTCAAAATGCAGCCCTATTTGCCATTTTATCACCCCAAAAGACAGATTCATGTTTCTTACTTTCAACACTCAACAGCATCTAATCTTGTTTTAACCTTTGGATGCCCCAATGTACCAAACGTCAAGTAAAAGCCGCTCCAGATTCATGTGTCTGATTTATGAATAGTTAACCAAACTACATTTAAATCTGTACATCTGAGCACCTCTCAAATCAGAGCATCTCTCAATCTAAACACTTATCTTGTTTCCTATTCTATAATCTCCCATTGTCTCCCATGTGAAAAACATGAAATGTAAACACCTGCTCATCCAAATACTTTTGGCTGATCCCAAAAGTGTTTGGATAAGACAGGTTTCATTGTCGTCTTTATCTAGATGATTAGATATTTTATTAAATAGTACATGAACATGTAAAATCAAATACTTGATAAATCATGTTTTTTTATTGAACTATAGGTTGGGATAAGATGGGATTTTTTCAGTTTTTTTTTCATTTAACAGAAAAAAAACTAAATCCCCTAAGCAAAAGCTAGCCACGGCCCACTACACGGGCCTGCTTTAACAGTCCTAATACCCATCAAATCTTTCTGTTTCACTAACATGGCTGAGATGTCATGGTCTACCTGCCATGATGTAATGTAAGTGTTCTCTTGGCATTCCATCAAAATATATAACTAACACAGCACACTATTCCCCATGCTGGCCTCCCTGGAGAATATGTATTATCATGATTAGGTAATGTATAATGTTAAATGGCTCCAGTTGATAGCTTTGTTAATTATTGATACAGCCCCTTTGATCAGATAACAGAGGGGTCATAGTTTAAATCAAAAAATTAGTATGAAAATGGAAATTTACATGGGATTAATAATAAATTAAGTGTAGACATCACTCTAAATTATTCACAAATGACATAAATATTGGAGCTTATTCACATTTTGGGAGCTCAAACAGGGAATAATACTAATACCGCAATGGTATTTTTGAAAATGGTAGACTAGTAGATCGGCATGTAGATTGTGGTCTGACAGGCTCTTACATTGATTAGACTATTCCCTACATTGTAGTTGTCAATGTCATGCCCACCATATTTCTACAAAACTATGCAATACTTCAGTCTAGTATTTTATCAAGTGTTTAACTTGATATCACAAACTCTGTTCAGTCATATCATCATAGTTTACTAATTCTGTTCAACCAAAGTGTACTAAATCTGCGAGTAGCAAATCTGTTCTCATGAATAGGCCCACTGGGCTTTTATTTTGCACAGGGCATTTATTTGAAAGAAAACCAAAAACAAATGCCTTTTAGTGGTCCCTGGGACTAGTACAGTTTCAAAAAGACCTAAGCCTCTGCCCTTAGGACTTTATTAAGAGGGAAAAATCATTTTTCTATGAGAAATGGGTGTTTCTTAAGAGGGTGTTTATTTCAAGCAATATTATAGATCGTACAGTTGACTTATGGGCTTCATACTCATGCAATAGTATCATAAACACTGACACTGATGTGAGCTTTTCTCTTATTTTTGCTACATCTGCATGTCAATTCTCTGTTCTGATTGCCATTTCTGATTTTTCCCAGGCTGTTTTTATTCAATAGCCTACTGGACTCTGTACTGGATACTATTCAATCCTTTTCTCGAATGTTTTCACTTACTAGACATTATTGAGGAGTACTCAAAATGAATGCCCATCCGCATGGGCCATTATAAAGAGGGAAAAAACTAATTCAAACACCCCAATTTCAAATAAATGCCCATGGGCCTATTCACGGGAAACTCTGGTAAATAAATTGATTAAATCATTATTGATATACCAAATCTGTTTGAGCATAATGTACCAAAACTGCATGACATGATCTGCTAGGAAAGCGGTGAATGACTGATCTTGAAGGATGCAAAAACATTATTCAACTGCAATTGTTAATAGTCAATTATATGTGAGTAAAAGGAATCTTGATTTATGTCATTAAATATTCAAAATTCAGTCATAGTGATGTCATATTTGAAATCTACATGTAAAGTACATCTAGAAATATGGTTTCAAAAATTGTTTATCAACTTTGAAAATTAAATTTTTTTTGAAAATGCGACTTCTAGTTCGTGTTAATTCCCCATAGACCCCATGTTACAAAATCACAAAAAGTGAAATATTTTTTCTTTTGGACAGATAACATTTTCTTTTCCTGGACATATTTTAATTTGCATAAATATTAGATACATAAGGGTTATATGAAAATTTAACCACTAAAACAGATGTAATTTAAGTTAAAGGGAACTTTCTACTATACCCGGCCTGCTATCTGACCCGAACGAGCCCCTGGTGATGAAACTGGTACCTACCTACTCGCATCTGCGTTATTGTTTCATGTTAGTCTATTGATCTATTGATTTAAAGCTTGGAGTTATATTGAATCACATATTGACCTGGGGCTTGGGAATTCAGTTATATTACAATGCTATTCTAAATAGAAACAACTCCCAACAAACACTGTTTAGTTTCTCAGACATATTTAGTTCTAAATTGTTCATAAAAGATATAAATATCCATAAAAGGGTTTGATGTGTTGTTTTGTTATTTTTATTTTAATATAGCAGTTTGTGCCTTTTAGTGTAGGATATGTAGATATTAATTAGATATTAATTAGATATTTGTGATAAACTACTCATTACTCAACACCTTTCATTTGAATGAAGGAAGCCCTGTTTGAATTGGTGGTCATTTGGAAATTTTTTTTTTGTGTACAACCACTTATTATTATATGAAGGAAAACTGTCAACTACTTCTTGATTTATACTCCGGACAGACGGATGGATGGACGGACAGACAGGACTGATGGACAAAAAACTGTTTTTCTGCATAATATCAAAGCGCAATCATTTAGTTAAAAAACAAAAAATAAAACATGGGTGGTGATCGAACCACTGCCGTCTGCGTGCACAGCAAGCATTCTACCAGAAGACCAGCATCCAACTGCGAAACTCAAGTAACGCTACTAATATTGAATGTTCTAATTCAGTAGTGATGTCACATTCTAAATTTAGAAACCTTCCAAAAATAATATTGTCGGCGACAATCAAGCAATTCAAAGAACAATCCTCAGAATAACACATTTATCTTGATTTGTACACATGATTTGCCCCATTTGTTCACCATAATGTATATACTTTCATCAAAGCTCAAAATTTTACAGTTTGCCCTGGAACAACCCAAGATTGTGTTCTAGACCGATGTGTAGGTTTAAAATGGAGAGAAATATATCAGAATTTAAAATATGTTAGATAATCATTATCAGAACATGCTATTATCAAGGAAATAAAACAAGAATTTTATTTTTCATACATTCATTAAATATAAAGGTATTATTCATTTGCTATATATGAGGGTTCTCTGATGTTATGGGAGATTTTGGGGGTATATCCTGGGCGAAATATAAGTACCTTATCGAGCACCTTGAAATAAGTTTTATACATAGAATCCGAGAAAGGAACAACTAAAAAAAATCAATTTCAGTCTCTCCCCTTTCTACAAAGCCTTGCTTCCTCGGTAGATCACATGCAGCCATTTTTCTCTTCAAAGTGCGATCACTGTGTGTTGTGTTATAATTTATCGAAGTTGGGAGGTATTATTTACAGATTTATACTTCAGCAACTTAAAGATAATCGTACTGAATAAAACATGGCACATGAACATTTTTTTCCATGTAAACGGGACAATATAATTTGAAGTCGAACAATAAATCATAAAGAAAAGGTTCCGGAAATGTTTTCAAACAAAGGAGTTGAATAAAAATGATTAATGGCCAGAGATGGTATTTATTTCTTCAAGTGACATATTCTGCTATTCTTATGATGACCTGATAATGGCCACAACCAGCACACTTGCATTACCCTGAATACTTATTTTTTAACAGATGTTATATCAATTCTTCTTTCACACCATTTTTGTTTCAACTACCCATATTACCCTTTACAAGTGATCAAATCCATTTACACCCCCCCCCCCCTTAGCCAATCTAATCAAAATACAGTAAAACCTGTTGAAGTAGAACACCTTTGATACCTCTAAAAAGTGTTCCACTTGGAAGGTGTTTCATTTAGATGGGTTTGTTAATCATTTAGTCAGTTGGTCATGGAAGTTGGAACTCTGAAAAGTGTTCCACCAACAGAGGTGTTCCACTTTACAGGTTTCACTCTACTATACTATACTTATCAGATATGTTTTTACAGTTAACAATAATCCTGATGTGATCTTAACGATCTAAAATGCATCTTTCAGCAGAAATGCAGTGTAGTGATTTCTGATTGAAATATTATTTATACAATACCATACAGTGAAACCTGTAAAATTGAACACCTCTAGAAGTGGAACACCTCTGTTTGTTGAACAATTCAAAGTCCCAAGACCAACTGACTTAATGTTAAATGAACACATCCCAAGTGGAACACTTTAGAGGTACCAAATGTGTTCCACTTAGACAGGTTTTACTGTAGAGTGAATTGATTAGAGTTCAGACTGACTCGAATGAATGGATATCAATTATAATAAATAACCCCAGTCTAATCGCATCTGACATTATTGAAAAGCTAACATAATCCTAGATGTCTACATATCAGTATGTGTTTGAGATCTACATAAAATGCACATAAATCCTCAAATTCATTAGAGGATCAAAGATCATATCATGAGTAAAAAAGAATGTTCTTTTTGGAGTTATAAAATGATTCAAATAAAACTTTCCAAATGACGGGTTAGTATAATTGTGACCATCAACCACGTTTTGGGTATCTCATGGTTTGAGAGCTGTATTCAATGGTTTACTAAAAAAATGCTGGTTACAGAAAGTTCTTGTTTTGATATGAATCAGAAAATGAATATCACACAATGGAACAATGTAAATTATACTATTAATACCAGTGTGATTATTGGATTAGGGAGTTATTAGTAAGGAAATCATCATATTATTCTCCTATTTGCACATTTATAGTGATACTTAAAGGTTGAATAGTACTGTGTATAAAAAGGGAAACTGACTTTTCCACAAATAAGTACAGTATGTTGATGTATCTACCATTAACAATTTTGTGGTTTATCACTTGAACTGTTGAAACAGGTGAATGTAAACAAAAATTGATGAGATTAATGATCATCATGTATAATGGCCTGTCAACCTGTAACTCTGGAGCTTCAGAATGTTTTATTTAGTACATTTACATGATTTACGTGGAATTCAGAAACCATTGTTATATGTACATGTATATCAGTATCGAATGCCTCAATCATTTGCTCTACAGCTGGCGTATGGCGGCTTTAGCTTAAAAAATTTGATATAGAAAACCCACATCGTACTGCTTATCCCTATATTTTATACTGCATATTTCTCTCAATTTTGGTAAGCTACGGCCACTGTATGTTTGCTGTATATCTAATATGAATTGACATTTTGCTCTGTAAAGTAATTTTAAGGGATTAGATGGTTAAAATATGTTTTTCATAACTGCACAAACCATTTCATTTTCAATATTTATGGTCTAAATGGACATCTATGAACAACCTTTCATTGTTCAATTTTAATGAATCTTCTTATATACTTCCAGGCACAATGTAATCCCAATAGTTATGGGTGCCCACCCTGATGACTACAAACGGGTTGGCCCACCCCGTAGCTTTATACATGTGGATGAGTTTGCAAACCCAGAAGCATTGGCCAAATATCTGCACAAACTAGACCAAGATGATAATTTATATAATGAGTATTTCCAATGGAAAGGGACAGGGGAGTTTATCAATACATACTGGTGGTGTCGCATGTGTAGTATGGTACATGCTGTAGACTCAGAATATTATAAACCAAAGTTTTATTCAGATGTGGAGAAATGGTGGAGAGGTCCAGATGTATGTATTGGAAGTGGAAAATGGATATAGCAGCACTGAAAGTAGATTGTGTTGTGTTACTCTAATTCATTCGTGCTATAGACCTGGGTTTGAGCGCAAGTGTTAGAACTACAGTATAAGAGATTTTACATTTTGGCATGGCACCTCATGATACCAAAGTATGACAAGGTGAACTAAGGTCATTATTGGATCTATCATTTGTTTATAAACAAGTAGAATACTTTGAAAACAATTTTATTTGTACTATTAAGGTTTTAAAGATATAATATATAACCAATGAGGCATTTAAAACCCTTTAACATTTAATATGCACCCAATGAACCGTCATTCCAAGTCAAATAAGGATAAGCTCAAGTGACAATAGTAAAAATGTTATTGTTTGTATTTATTAGTTTTAATGACCTGAGAATCATCTACCTCTCAAAATTATGACTTCTATTATGATTTAGCTTCACGATTCTTTGATTCTTTTCATAACTGTCTGGATTCATTTCGTAAAGTAGGTGGCTGGCATACCCTGTATATCAAAGAAGATAAACATCTTCAATTCTTCACTTGGAATCTCTAGTGATGTGTGAATTAATACTTCTGTTGTATGAACACTTCATTCCCAAATATTTGAACACTTGCCTTGCCTACCCAAAACACAAGTAACCATACTAATCATATTTTCTAGCAAACTAGAGTTAATTGATAAAATTTACATTCTAATTCATGTCATTATTTAACATCTACTATGAAAATTTGAAAGAAACAGTCACAAAACTTTTAAGTTTTAGAGTATTTTTCTCAGAACTTATTGATCGACTGAGTATGTATCTATTTTTTTTTATATTAGAATAACCAGGACATTAGTATGCTTCATAAATCAAACAAAATAATTTGGTGTCAATGAGTTCAGTTTTTACTTAAAGCATATTGGAAACTAAAGCTTGATACTAGGTAACAGTCACATTTGTAAACCAGCATTTGGAAATGACTAGCAAGCATAATTTGCATAGTTTGTATTCAAATGTACTGCTGCTAATGCAACCATGTACTGCTTGGCTGTATTGCTGCTAATGCAACCATGTACTGCTAGGCTGTATTGCTGCTAATGCAACCATGTACTGCTTGGCTGTATTGCTGCTAATGCAACCATATACTGCTAGGCTGTATTGCTGCTAATGCAACCATGTACTGCTTGGCTGTATTGCTGCTAATGCAACCATGTACTGCTTGGCTGTATTGCTGCTAATGCAACCATGTACTACTAGGCTGTATTGCTGCTAATGCAACCATGTACTGCTAGGCTGTACTGCTGCTAATGCAACCATGTACTGCTAGGCTGTATTGCTGCTAATGCAACCATGTACTGCTAGGCTGTACTGCTGCTAATGCAACCATGTACTGCTAGGCTGTACTGCTGCTAATGCAACCATGTACTGCTAGGCTGTTCTGCTGCTTCGTGCAATCATGTACTGCTAGGCTGTATTGCTGCTAATGCAACCATATACTGCTAGGCTGTACTGCTGCTAATGCAACCATGTACTGCTAGGCTGTACTGCTGCTAATGCAACCATGTACTGCTAGGCTGTTCTGCTGCTTCGTGCAATCATGTACTGCTAGGCTGTTCTGCTGCTTCGTGCAATCATGTACTGCTAGGCTGTATTGCTGCTAATGCAACCATATACTGCTAGGCTATACTGCTGCTAATGCAACCATGTACTGCTAGGCTGTACTGCTGCTTCGTGCAATCATGTACTGCTAGGCTGTTCTGCTGCTTCGTGCAATCATGTACTGCTAGGCTGTTCTGCTGCTAATGCAACCATGTACTGCTAGGCTGTATTGCTGCTAATGCAACCATGTACTGCTAGGCTGTACTGCTGCTAATGCAACCATGTACTGCTAGGCTGTTCTGCTGCTTCGTGCAATCATGCCATGCAAGGACACCTTAGTGAAACCATGCCAGAAGAACACATTAGTGCAACCATGCAATGCAAGGACACCTTAGTGCAACCATGCCATACAATGACACCTTAGTACAACCATACTATGCAAGGATCTTGCGTTGCCATGCCAAAATGTAAAATCTTTACAATCACCAAGATCCAGCGATCAACTCCGTGTTTAACAGTCAACTAACCGGTTAAACACTGGCTTAGTCTGAAATATGTATACAAATGAAGAGAAAAGATGTATTTTCATATTTTTTTCATATATTATTTTTGATTTGGTAGGCCTAGGTCAATATTAGTATAAGCAAAACTAGGGTCAGCATCTTCTCTGCTTTCTATAGAATCAGTCTGGAGAGGGGAGATCATTGCTGTGATAAACCCAAGTATTTGCAAAATTTCTCTTCTTGTGCTGTGAAAATTTAATTAATTGAAAATCAATTCCCATTCTTGTTATTAAAAATACATTTTTGATAAAATGTGCTATTCACCTGTTAATGAACAATGTGTAGCAACATAATTATGCTGTGATTTGAACATTTATACTCTAAAATATAGGTACAGTAAAACCTGTCTAATCCGAACACCCACGGGACCAGCCAAAAGCGTTCAAATTGGCAGGTGTTCAAATTTCGAGGATTTTGTTGGTCGGGGGGGGGGGATTTTCATTGTTCAGTCCACTATATTGAACACTTAATACTAAGTCAGAAAACAATAAATGTTGTTGATGAGTTAATTCTACAATAGTCCTATAGCCTATATGCTATTTTTTATTTATATTTTGAACAATATCATCGTTTTAGTAAAAATAACTCTTATATTTTGGCAAAAACTTTGTAATGCACTGTAGAAGTATATGATAGTCTCGTACGAAATCTTATGCTTATCAAATGACTTATCCCATATTATGGTAATATAGAACTGCTTTACTTTTGCTTGAAAAAGTCCTTCATTGTTGTTTGTTTCTTGGCACTTTTAGTATTAGCAATATTTGAGTAGATATCCTCTTCAAGTAAAAAGAATTTTTCATGAGTGTTCATTCAAGATGATGCATAATCTTTCAAAATATCAAGGGCATTCAGGATGTCAGATGTATGCCTTTTAGGAGACATTTTAGTGATAGGATATTTTTTCTCTTTCTTGTGATATAATCTTGTCTGCAAATGTCGTCTGTGTTGTCCTTGTGATTATAAAACATTTGCTGATTGAATCTTAGCTATCATAACAGACCCATGGGATATAAAACAGTTAAGAGCTGTTCATAATCCAAATCAAAAACATCCAGTTAATTTACAATAAGGATAAACTAATTATCTCCCAGATTCTCACCTTTCTCTTAATCCAAATCAAAAACATTCAGTTCTTTTCTAAATCTTGTCTGCAAATGTCGTCTATGTTGTCCTTGTGATTATAAAACATTTGCTGATTGAATCTTAGCTATCATAACAGACCCATGGGATATAAAACAGTCAAGACCTGTTCATAATCCAAATCAAAAACATCCAGTTAATTTACAATAAGGATAAACCAATTAACTCCTGTATTCACACCTTTCCAAAACATCCTATTGTTTTCCACAAATTAGGGATGTCACTGAGACTAAATAAGTTAGTTAGGACAATATTGGTTCTTTGATTACATTGTATATGTAAAGATAAATAACAACTATAACATTGACTCAATATTTGGCTATAATTGAAATGTCCAGACATTTGATTTCTGATAAAAATGTTCAGATTAGACAGGTCACTTTTTCAAATCTGGTTGTTCACTGTTCAAATTAGGAGGTGTTCAGATTTCAAGGTTTTTTTAACATGGGAGTCAATGGGAGGAAAAAATGGGACCGAAAAAAAGTGTTCAAATTGGAAGGTGTTCGGATTAGCCAGGTGTTCAGATATACAGGTTTTACTGTATATGATACATACACACGAGCAGCTGCATACCTGCGTAATAGGTATATCTGTGTAACATGTGCAAAGGCTTGAGGGAAATACTTCTCTTGCATGTTAAATTTTGCATTTTGACCCTGTGTATCAGTGATTAATACGACAAAATAATCATGCATGAATGGCAGATACATATGTTAGACAAGGTGTTTATTTTTCTTGATGTTAAAGTGGATTTTATGCTCACTATATTGAAATATTTTGCTTTTATTTGCTTGCTTTTGTATCATCAACTTCACAATGATTCTAAAAATCATAAAAATGTACTCTGAATTTGCCATAACATAAGTTGCCATATTGTTTGTACATGTACTTTGTTTTGAGATTCATAAATTTAACTGACCAAGAACTTTTATTTTTAAATTCAGGATCAACTTAGTTCTTTCTTTTAACTTCACATCCTCAACCCATAGCCCTCTGGTAGCCAGTGCTGGAACCTGAGATCTAGAAAAAGGGTGTATTGATTATAATAATATAAAAATATTGCCTGTATTGTAAAATCAGGTTTTGAAAAGAAATGCACAAATGGCTATTATATATTCTAGTACCCCGAACAGGTAGCTTGAAGTATGAGTGATTTCCAAAAACAACCTGTTGTGGGTGGAGGGACAAGATATAGTACATGTTTTTTTTTGGTACTGGGCACCTGACTGAGCAACATAGCCTAACAGTAAAATCAATTTCAACTCAAATATTTTTAAGTAGATTTTATCAGTAATGCATTCTGTTAGACCAACCATCTACCCTAATAGGCTACTGTTAGACTTTTTAGAATCGTTTTACGGGGTTTGTGTTAAAAACCGGGTGACTGGGTAACTGGGTACCGTTCCGTACCGTTCCTAGCAGGGTTACAAACTTTCAAAGTTCCTCATTGCCCCCGATATATAGTAGCGAATTGACTTGACAGACTTAGCCTTTCGAGTGCACTGCTGTTTGATATTTTTACCCTATACGAGTCAGAGCACATTTTAAAATTATCGATCCGACATATTGCTAACGTTAAAATTTAACGTTGTCGAAACGTTTTTTCGATTTGAAATAACCTCAATATGGACCGTATTAATCTGACGTTATTTAAATATTCAGCAAAACGTTGATGGATGGTTGAATTTCAACATTGTGGAAATGGCTTCAAAATATTTGTGAGTTAAGGAAACGTTACAAAGACGTCAACATGTTCTCACTAAATGGGTCCATTACCGACATTATTTTAACGTTAAAAATTAACGTTGTCAAAACGTTCTTCATTGTGAAATAACCTCAAAACGTGACGTCGAAAATAACGTACATGTATCGTCCAGATCCAACGTTATAAATAAAAAAATTCCTAACCCTGCTAGGAACGTTAAGTACCTGGTCACCCAGTTTTTTACACAAAAACTACTTTACGAAATGAAATACTGTACTCCCACTAATATTTGACGCTATTATATTTCGTGTAATTTTCAGTTTTTTGAAATTTTGCGGCTATTAATCTCTGCAAATTTCACGAATTAAAAATGGAGGAATTTCACGGCTATTATGTTTCGCAAATTTTCCAAAACTCGCGAAAAGGACCAAATATAGTAGCGCGCGAAAATTACCAGGAGTACAGTATGTTGAATCCAATATGGAATGGTGCTGCCTTGGTGATACTAACGATGACAGTTAATGACTTATTTATGTAAATATGTTCTAATGGCCTGGCATGTTAGTCCATGGATCATCCAAAATATGGGATTGAAAAAGTTAGAATTTGACAGTGTCACCTTATGAGAAGTGTCAGAAACACAAATAGTACAGTAGTACTGGCAAGTGGGAGGGGGTGTTCTGAGCATTGAACAGAAGTAGAAATTAATAAATCGAATCTTGTGAGTGTCCCTTCTCTGTTTGATGGCACATGTACTTGGGGTAAAATAATTCATTAGGAATGAGAGTTTTAGCTATGAGAATTTTCAATATGTAGCACATGTAATGCCCAAGTCACATTTGCTCCAATTCATCCACTGGCGGCCGGCCGATTGCATTCAGTTTTGAACAAAACACTCAATTGGCCTGTCGGCTGGTTGCTTGCTGATGAATCAGAGCAAATGCGAATCAGGCATTATATGTAAGCAAGCATGTTTAACACATAAGTACAATTAAATAGGATTTTTAAGACTCTTGTAAGTACAGAAATTCTGCACTGCACTGCACTAGCCTATAGTACTAATATCCTTCAATATTAGTATAGTCTGTACTTATTTCCTTCGATATATAAGGGTTATGTACCGGGAGGTTTTGGATATGGGGTTTATCCAGAGGGAGATATGCATATCTACCTGAGGGACCGTAGGGACCGTAGGGACCGAAGGTAGATGTGCATATTTCACGAGGGATGAACCCAATATCCAAACCGACCGTACATAACTGCTTTATCCTATACCAAGTAGAGTTTTCAGGGGCATATGGCAATTTCAATAGTACAAGGTGTAAAAATAAACTTATCATTCATATGCAAAGTCATTTTATTGCATTTCCACTACTTACCGGAAGCGGGAAGATATACACCGAAGCGGGAGATATGGAGGTTCTAGATATGGAAACCTCAAAATCAGGATACGGGATATATCTTACCAACTTATCTTCCTAAAACTCTACTTGGCATAGGATAATAGCACTTATATCCTTAGATATTTGTGACTTATCACATTGGTCTGAGGTTCCAATTAAGAGCAGAATAGATCTTTCATCAGTTACTGTACATTCCAGATTTTTATTGCATTTTATTTGTACTTCATTATTTATGCGGAGAAACTTAGTCCATAACTATTAACCAATGTAAGGCAAAGTGATTCTATTTATGACTCATATAAATATAAATGGTAAAAGTTAATTTGACATTTTCTTTAATTGGAAATAAACGGGACATTTCATGTTAGGGCATAGTTCCAAACAATATACATGTATAATCATTTTTTCTTTATTCTCCCAAGTTAATTTTTTTTCATTTTTCCCATCTATTTTTGTCATTATGTGCGGTTGTTATGGGCTAAGTTATACATCAATGATTGTATGTATGTCAAGGCGCCTTACATTGTAAATCCATATACTCGTATGTACATAGGTCTCATAAGGATGCAATAAAATGGCAATTATTTTCTTGAATCAAGCATGGAAATCAGGAAAGATTGATAGGCTATTTTTGTAATAAAAACAAGTGTACATTCCTATAAAATGTCTTAAAGTTTATTATTATTCTATTGGTGAAACATTTGTTTTATATCATGCTATTCCACATCTAGATGTTACACAAATAGAGAAACAGGAATGAAATGTCCATCATCGAAAAGTTCAGGTTAACTGATATATTATATAAGATTTACAACCCCCTTCATATGTTTTGCAACCTTATTTGATGACATGTTTGAAAAGACTGTTTTTGTTTGTATCTGCCAACCATCTAAATCAGGCAAGTGGCTAAAGAAAGAAATCTTGCTCAAGGTTGATATACCCTAGGGGAGATAATACTATAAAAACTTAACCCTAGGCGATATAAAAAATTATTTTAAAAAGGAAATTCCAATTGCTAAACTTTTGTTGAGGAGTGTATGAAAAGCTGGAATGAATTATCTCACAAACTGAAATACCTAGAAGTACAATGAAACCTGTAAAGTGGAACAACTCTGTAAGTGGAACACCCTGCCTCCATGAGTAGAACATTTTAATATTCCATTCTCCATAAACTTATTCGAAGATTTAGGCTACCTCTAAGATTAGAACATTATTTTGTAGGCTATACACCGTTCCACTTACACAGGATTCACTGTACAATAAATCAAACATGCCTTGAAGATTCAGAGATATATTTTGCAGAATACCTTTGAATATAACATTAAATGCCATAAAACAGGGATTAAATCAAGGGATTGTTTAGCAATTTGAAATAAATAAGTTTAAAAGAAATTATAGTTATGTTACAATGGGATATGTATTTTTGAAAAATTGTTGCATAGGGCCTAATCAGAATATTTTGAGACAATGCATTAGGATGCAAAATATCACTACCTATCATTTGTTACAGATGCCGACTGCCAAACACCATCCACAAAAAAAGTTGGAGACTATAACAATATCTCATCACTTGTGCTAGTGACATACTGTAGATTGGGTTAATTTGGCACCCCTTTGATATGGCGAAAAGAAGAAAAAAACGGCAATTTATATCTTCACTAAAATTTTGAAAGGATCTCCAGGAATTTTCCAGGGAACCAAATTAAATAGCAGCCAAAATTTCAAAATTTGCCTTATCCGTAAAATTAAATAGCGCCAAATTAAAGCAATTTACATAATATGGTATTGGTAGTCACTAAAATAGTATTTATTTGGTCTTGAAACAGACTTCGGGGTGAGTTTTTAATTTTTACATTTTTTTCTCATTGTGATTTGTGACACTCAATTACAGTGGCATTTTTACACTTTCTACTCCAGTGGCATTTTTCTGGTGAGTTGCACCACTAATATAAACACTGTAAAGTGTCATTGTGTAAATGTAATATCTTGATGAATTATTTTAATACACTTGTAACACCTAACACTTGTAAAAACCTTTATAGTGATCCATTTGTCAGAGATGAAAGTCAAAAAAGATATCTATCATAACTAACTTTATATAATCTTAGCTACTGTACAACCTGTACAATTTCAAGCAAAGCACTCCCAATTCCCTCTCAATTTAGCCCAGTAAGTACATTATCATTTTTAATAGTTAATCAGTGTTCCTAGCTAATGGTGATCAATCAGGACATTCCAATCCAACTCTTTGGAAAATATTCAGTATGGTTTGTCCCCTTGTCAAGGGGACTCCCGGCTCTGGGCCAGTCCCTAAAGTACACTGTGGTCCCCCCTGTTAAATATCCTCCCCACCATCCAAATGTCCCTGTTGTTATGATGGTGTGATTACAATGTGTCAAAATCGCCAGATCTTCTATCTCCGAATGGTTTTCAGAGAAGTATATATCTTCAGTAAGGTTGATGTTTTGTTTCGTCCATGAGAGGTCGTCATTTGATGTTAATATTACAAATGCAAGTTTTGGATACTTTTGCTTGAAATAAAGCATTGCGTTTTTCAGATATTCTGTTGTTGCAACCTGATGACCAAAATCAATGTTCTTTTTTGAGATCATGTCGCCTCTTCGAACATGGACTCCTATGAGAGTAATTTGACCAGACAATCCTTTCTTAATTTCAGAAATAAATTCTTTAGCCAACTGAGATGTCTTCAAATCAAATTGAAACTGTTCAAGAATATCAGGTTTCACAAAATCAAAATATTTCCAAGATTGTAAATAGCCTGAGATTTGATGGTTTCCAGGACTCAAATTACAAAGATTTGGGAAATATTTAGCACAACATGGTACCATAACTTTGGTGTACTCAAGTCTGGAACTGTCAATATCCTCATTTGTGACCTTGATCACTTTTAAAGTGAAATATTTCAATAATCTATGGTTTGTTTTCAGTACTGGGGTCCTATTATTTGTTAGAGCTAAGCCATACATTGACGCGTACATGAACATCAGGTTTCCTAATCCTGCCTCTGAAGAATCTACATCAGCTATTGTCAAGTTATAAGTTGAAGGATTGACGCTGCCAGCTTTTTCCCTAATAAAAAGAGTTAAAGTTGAAGTTAAGTTGTTGGAAAGTATTTGCTATTTAAAGGGGCTGTATCTGTAATTCTCATACTCAATTTTCTCAAAACATTTACCTTATTCATTCACGCGGTACTAACTTCGACTGTTAATTTGAATTTTTGACCTACCAGATGTTTGAAAATCAAGGATCAGTAGTCTCATACTGCAACGATTTTCTTCAAACTTGTTCCATTCAAAGCATAACAAAAATCCATTTCTGTTGGTACATTATTCTCCTAAAAAGAGTCCCTACTTCCAGCGGCATTTTGGTCCCCAGCTGTGAGAAGGCCTTCTAACAGCTGGGGACCAAAATGCTGCTAGAACGAGGGACAATTAAGTAATGCACCGACAGAAAGGCAATTTTGTTTTGCTTTTAATGGTATAAGTTTGAAGAAAAAATGGTGCAGTATGAGACTCGCAATCCTTGATTTTCAAGCATCTGGTAGGTCAAAAATTCAAATTAACGGTCGAAGTTAGTACCGCGTGTCATTATGATCTGTAACTTGTAACATCATCAACTTTTTATGAATAACAAGCTAAGCTTGAAAAAGTTTACATTTGAATTAAAAATGGTGCAAAGTTATTGATCATTATGTATTAAACATGTTTGGAGTGAAAGATTAAAATTACAAAAACTGGCCTTTAAAGTTGAGATTTATTATTTCAAACAAGACTCCTGTGTTAACTAGTGGTTGGTCAACTGTCACATTGATAATCTATTCTTAAGTTTCGCTAAATATATGTGCTGAGCAGCTGGTATAGATTGAGAGATACCAAAGTACAACCCCTGGAGAAATATATCACACGCAACTCATGTCACATTATTCCTACAGTAACATTTCGCAATATCATACTCCCTACCTCATAAGGGGAGGCATCAAAAGTTCAATGTCGGATCGAAAACTAAATAAATCTAGTTAGGGGGAGGGGGTTCAAAGCCATTTCACTTTGCTATCAGACAAATTGCAACATTTCAATTTTTTACAATTTTGACTTGGAATGATTTAAAAATAGAGATTTTACCTGATGCTCTCTTCATTAAGATCATTCCGATGGATTCTTTTCTATCAATAGTTGTTAAAAACCCCAAATTACGCTAGGAATTAACAAAACTAGATCTTTTTTAGAAATAATTTTTCAAATTCTCAAACCAGAAGTAAAGTGTTCTTGTTTTTGATCGACTGTTTATTGGAATTGTTTACAATGAGAGTCAGTATTTGTAATAAAATAGTACCACAGGCACTGCGCTCACATGGGAATGTTTCAATATTTTTAATGTTTACAGTAGGAGCTTAGAATAATCAAAGTTTTTTGCACATTATGAAACATACTAATTTTATCGAACTACCTGGCTAGCTAAAATAAAAAAACATGGGTATTAGCTTGGACCAATAAATACCATTTTCCGTAATGAAGTTGGAACAGAGGAATTTCACAAGCACACTAAAAGGTAGCTTTATACATGATTTTTTTGCAATAAAGTGGCGGCCATTTTGAAATTTACAACATATTTTGCCTAAACTTGTAAACAAAGTATTGATAACTTATAAATAAATTAAGGTACCTGTATGTACAATTCCAAGCAAATTGATGATGAAATAATTGTGAAGTTATGACAAAAAAGCTGAAAACCTGATTTTTCTACAATAAAATTGGCAGCCATTTTCAATCTTTGAGACATATTTTGCTGAAGCTTGTAGACATTATTGATAACTTAGAAATTAGGGTACATGTATCTGTACAATTTTAAGCAAATTGATGGAATACTTGTGGAGTTATGACCAAAAACAAGCTAAAAACCTGATTTTTCTGCAATAAGAGTGGTGGCCATTTTTGCGACATATTTTGCCGAAACTTGTAGATATCGTTGATAATATAGAATAAAGGTACCTTTTTAATTTCAAGCAAATTAATGGAACACTTGTGGAGTTATGACCAAAAACAAGCTAAAAACCTGATTTTTCTGCAATAAGAGTGGTGGCCATTTTTGCGACATATTTTGCCGAAACTTGTAGATATCGTTGATAATATAGAATAAAGGTACCTTTTTAATTTCAAGCAAATTAATGGAACACTTGTGGAGTTATGACCAAAAACAAGCTAAAAACCTGATTTTTCTGCAATAAGAGTGGTGGCCATTTTTGCGACATATTTTGCCGAAACTTGTAGATATCGTTGATAATATATAATAAAGGTACCTTTTTAATTTCAAGCAAATTAATGGAACACTTGTGGAGTTATGACCAAAGACAAGCTGAAAACCTGATTTTTCTGCAATAAGAGTGGTGGCCATTTTGAATCTTTGTGACTTGTTTTGCCGAAACTTATAGCCTATAAATTAAGGTACCTGTATAATTTCAAGCAAATTGGTGGAAAACTTGTTGAGTTATAACCAAAAAAGAGCTGAAAACCTGATTTTTACACCATAAAATTAGGATAAAAAAGCATCCCTGAATATTGTAAAACAATCCGTCAAACAGTTCTCTTGGAAATGTGTATACAGATTTTATGATGGAAAATACAATAGTGGCTAACAATAAAAAAACAATATTTCCTAAGTTCGGAGACAAGGATTTTTTGCATTTAACCTCAAAATGGCCGACAGAAGTTGGTTTACATTCAAATTTTTTAATGTCATCTGCTCATACGTGCTCATTAACAATATGTTGATGTCAGAGGAAATGACCATATACAGAAAGTTGTCCGTATTTCAACGCGCTCTGATTGGCTCAGTGAGATCAGAGGTTTATTGTAAACTTCGACTTCACTTCTTGAAGCTCTCTTTCAAGAAGTGAAGTCGAACGAATACAAAAGGTAGTAAAAAGGTTTTATGACATCGTTAAGTCAATATGCTAGCATACTCTCCCATCTAGATATATGCTTTTGTTGAGAATACAGAATGTGGGAAACATGATGTTACATAGCACACCTTGCAACAATGTCTCTTTATTAGGGTTGTTTCTAATGCTGGTTATTTCTAATGCTGAGAAGTTGATCATAGATAGATACAAAATGGGAATTTGTTAATTAATCTTTAATATACACCTTATCAGGTTGCTTTCATTTATATCACAACCCAGTAAGGTGTATGTTAAAGAATTAACCTTCCTGTTATCTCAAAATCTGCTTGGAACCCCATCATTGAATTAACATGGGAAATTCCTCCAAGAGAATATTCTAGGGATTTTAGAATTGGTGCAGTTTACACAATTTGAGAAATTATTGGCATACATGAAACCTATTTAAAACAGCATTTATATTATTCAAAAGCATCGAGCACAATGATTTCCAGCCTTCTGAAGTTTGAATAATACAAGGCACAGACGTGAACAATATCGTACCTAAAACACAGCAGTGTGACAGTGAAGAATTTAGGACGGAAAATCCAAAATGGCCACCTTAAAATTTACCCAGAATGCCCAAAAACTAATCAGTTCTTAACTTTGATACGTAGAAACATCCCTGAAAATTTCAGATGAATCCATCAAATGGTTTGACTGGAAACCTGTAGACAAGTCTTGAAAGTGAAGATTTTAGGACGGAAAATCCAAAATGGCCACCTTAAAATTAACCCAGAATGCCCAAAAACTAATCAGTTGTTAACTTTGATATGTAGAAACATCCCTGTAAATTGCAAATGAATCCGTCAAATGGTTTGGCTGGAAACCTGTAGACAAGTCTTGAAAGTGAAGATTTTAGGACGGAAAATCCAAAATGGCCACCTTAAATTTTACCCAGAATGCCAAAAAACTAATCAGTTCTTAACTTTGATACGTAGAAACATCCCTGAAAATTTCAGATGAATCCGTCAAATGGTTTGGCTGGAAACCTGTAGACAAGTCTTGAAAGTGAAGATTTAAGGACAGAAAATCCAAAATGGCCACCTTAAAATTTACCCAGAATGCCCAAAAACTAATCAGTTCTTAACTTTGATACGTAGAAACATTCCTGAAAATTTCAGATGAATCCGTCAAATGGTTTTGCTGGAAACCTGTAGACAAGTCTTGAAAGTGAAGATTTTAGGACGGAAAATCCAAAATGGCCACCTTAAAATTTACCCAGAATGCCCAAAAACTAATCAGTTCTTAACTTTGATATGTAGAAACATTCCTGAAAATTTCAGATGAATCTGTCAAATGGTTTGGCTGGAAACCTGTAGACAAGCTGAAAAGTGAGACGCCGCCCGCCCGCCCGTCAAGCTGACGACAATATCGTACCTTTATTAGGTACGATAATAAAAAATACCTGGGTGTTAATCCATGGATAATCCTTGAAAATGAGAAATAATTTTTTGAATTATATGGTGCAGTCTTATAGTCAATAAAACGTTTTAAAGTGTATTCCTGTTTTTAAGATGAAAAATTAGTACCATGGGTACTGGGCTCACATGGTAACAGAAAAAAACGGATATAATTTTTTGCTGATTTTTTGTTACAAAATTATTTCAAGCCATCTGTCTCTCAGTCAATTAAAATGGCTGAAAAAAAAACGGATATAATTTTTTGCCAATAATTTGTAACAAAATTATTTCATACAACTACTCTTTACAGTGACATGGCTTTTTGCAATGCAAGACACCTGAAATTATTTGTAAAGCTAGGAAATGGGCCAAAATTGAATTTCGCGAGAGAAAAATGGCGACCATTTTGAAATCAGGCAAGCTTTTGAACCAGGAGTCATAGGGGAGTTTTTTGTATTGATGTTGAACAAAAATAACTTGAAACTGGAATCCTATCGACAGAGGTTTTAAGCAAATGGTCCAAAAGAGGATTTCGCGAGACAGATGGACAAATCAATGTTAACTAAAATGGCTGAAAATAAAGAAACGGACATAATATTTTGTCGATTTTTTGTAACAAAATTATTTCATACAACTACCTTTTACAGTGACATGGCTTTTTACAATGCAGGACAGCTGAAATTATTTGTAAAGCTAGGAACTTGGCAAAAAGTGAATTTCGCGAAACAAGAATGGCAACTATTTTGAAAATAGGCGAGCTTTTGAACCAAGAGTCATAGGAGAGTTTTTTGTATTGATGTTGAACAAAATTAACTTAAAATGGGAATCCTATTGACAGAGGGTTTAAGGTAAATGGTCCAAAAGTGGATTTTGCGAGACAGATGGACAAATCAATGTTAACTAAAATGGCTGAAAATAATTAAATGGATATAATTTTTCGCTGATTTTTCGTAACAAAATTATTTCATACATCTACTCTTTACATTGACATGGATTTTTACAATGTAGGACACTTGAAATTATTTGCAAAGCTAGGAAATGGGTCAAAAGTGAATTTCGCGAGACAAAAATGGCGGCCATTTTGAAAATAGGCGAGCTTTTGAACCAGGAGTCATAGGGGAGTTTTCTGAATTGATGTTGAACAGAAATAACTTAAAACAGGAATCCTATCGACAGAGGTTTTAAAACGTGCCACTGTTATTGACAGAAAGTGGATTTCGCGAGTCAGATAGACAAATCAATGTTAACTAAAATGGCTGAAAATAAAAAAATGGATACAATTTTTCGCTGATTTTTTGTAACAAAATTATTTCATATATCTACCCTTTACATTGACATGGATTTTTACAATGTAGGACACCTGAAATTATTTGTAAAGCTAGGAAATGGGTCAAAAGTGAATTTCGCGAGACAAAAGTGACGGCCATTTTGAAAATAGCCGAGCTTTTGAACCAAGAGTCATAGGAGAGTTTTTTGTATTGATGTTGAACAAAAATAACTTAAAATGGGAATCCTATCGACAGAGGGTTTAAGGTAAATGATCCAAAAGTGAATTTTGCGAGACAGATTGACAAATCAATGTTAACTAAAATGGCTGATAATAAATAAATGGATATAATTTTTCGCTGATTTTTCGTAACAAAATTATTTCATACATCTACTCTTTACTTTGCAATGGATTTCTAAAATGTAGGACACTTGAAATTATTTGTAAAGCTAGGAAATGGGTCAAAAGTGAATTTCGCGAGACAAAAATGGCGGCCATTTTGAAAATAGGCGAGCTTTTGAACCAGGAGTCATAGGGGAGTTTTCTGAATTCATGTTGAACAGAAATAACTTAAAACAGGAATCCTATCGACAGAGGTTTTAAAACGTGCCACTGTTATTGACAGAAAGTGGATTTCGCGAGTCAGATAGACAAATCAATGTTAACTAAAATGGCTGAAAATAAAAAAATGGATACAATTTTTCGCTGATTTTTTGTAACAAAATTATTTCATATATCTAATCTTTACATTGACATGGATTTTTACAATGTAGGACACCTGAAATTATTTGTAAAGCTAGGAAATGGGCCAAAAGTGAATTTCGCGAGACAAAAGTGACCGCCATTTTGAAAATAGGCGAGCTTTTGAACCAGGAGTCATAGGGGGGTTTTCTGTATTGATGTTGAACAGAAATAACTTAAAACAGGAATCCTATCGACAGAGGTTAGCTAGGAAATGGGCTAAAAGTGAATTTCGCGAGACAAAAGTGACGGCCATTTTGAAAATAGGCAAGCTTTTGAACCAGGAGTCATAGGGGGGTTTTCTGTATTGATGTTGAACAGAAATAACTTAAAACAGGAATCCTATCGACAGAGGTTTAAAAACGTGCCACTATTGTTGACGGACAGACGGACGGACGGACGGACAGACGGACGGACAGACAGACGGACAAGTGAGTGATTGCAAAAGCTCACCATGTGAGCTAAAAACTATTATAAAATCAAAGGCCTATTAAGACAATAACATTTTTCGTTCTGTGCATAAAATAGCATAATGGAGACTCGCATTGGAAAAAATAAAATTTCAAAAGTCAGTGATCAACTTGTATGGTACTTATGCTACATCATGTTTTATTGAAGTGATACAATGTACCATAGCACAAACATGACAGAATTCACACTTGTGACCTCTGATACACCTGCTCATTCACAGATGATGAAGTAATATGTGGCACAGGTGTATATAATGGTGCAATACTATGTACAATGTAGAACAATCTAAATAATCAATTTCATCATGGAAAAGGCAAAATAACTTAGGCTAATGCAAATGATCTTTAATGATGAACCCACCCCCTGTTCATTTGACAACTTGGTTTTTTTCCATCTCATATACTTCTAATCTAGGTTCACAATAAAATTAGATGTCAATATTTGAAGCAACCACTAATTGAGACTTAACTACTAGTATAACCTGAAAACTGCTGAATCAGCTGAAAGTTTATTGTTGCCCATATCCTCCAGGATATAAGAATCTACTACACATTTTTGTAATTCTCGTTCAAACTGCACTTCAGTCAATTCATGATAATCCACATTTCCTGAATTCATTTTTGTCAGTAAAAGAATAAAACTTGCAGTTAATATGAAGACAAATAATCTTATAACAGTCAATGATATCTGCCTCATGTTCAAAACTTCATCCTCTGTCAATCACAACAAAAAACTTAATATTTCAATAATATATTGTATTGTTGCCATATTGTTCATTTCCAAAGTATATCTGTAGTAGACAGATGTACATGTTATCTATATATTTGCTAGTTGGATGTATAAGTACACCTCTTATGAAGATTCACATCATTACCATTTGAAAGTGCATTCTATACAGGAATCTTGTGAAATTAATTCATTGTTTAACATTATGTGAATTTTAAAATATAGTTCAAATAGTTTAACATAATTATTTTCTTTTTGATGCGGCCTCGAGAGCATGAAATATCTTAAAACACAAAATACATGTACATAAGTTAGACACCTTTTAGGTATCAAAATAATTTATGAGAGTAGATAACTCAGGTGTGCAGCAAAAGGCACTTTGAATCTAAACCATGATATGCTATCAGTTCTAGCCAATTATTAACTTATGTAATTCATATTTCATTAATTAATATTTAAACAATGTTTTGCCGGGGGATGCCCTTCTCTCCTGATAATTTTACCATTAATATACGATTTGGTGATTTGGTGGGAATTTTTGATGTGTTTAGATATCAGAAATGGGCCTGGAATATAAGTAGCATCCAATGAGTCTGTATCCAATAAGTTTGGATGGGGGAGGTTGCCAGAGGGGGTGTGTGGGTTACAGAGGATATCCTCTCCTCTCTAAGGCTAATGCAAGATTTTACTATTAATGTCATTTGGTGATTTATTAATAGAGCTAACAATTGTACAAACGTTACTATATGTAATGAAGAGACATCTATGATGGCAGAAGAATGTATTTTTATAGATTTGATAGGAACAAATCTGCTTTGTATCAAAGTGTATATGTTTACAGTGTATATGTGCATTTACAATGTAAATGACAGCATTACACTTACAGTAAAACCTGTCTTAGTGAACACCTCTCTCTAGTGAACACCTGTCTCTAGTGGACACCCTTCCTACGCACATAGTCCACTGACTTATGTATAAATTACCCTCTCTCTAGTGAACACCTACCTACAGTGAACGTTTTTTCTTGGCAAAAAAATGTTCACTATACACAAGTTTTACTGTAGTTGAAAACTAATGCCTTGGTCACATTTGATCAATGGCAACTGTATGGCGGCATAGCTTCCCAAAATCAAGAGAAATATGCAGCATACAGTATATGGATAAGTTGTGCGCTGTAGATTTTCTATATCGATTTTGTGAAGCTACGTCCGCCATAGAGCAAATGTGAGAGAGGCTCTAGTGTCGCTGCAAAAGTGAGCATGCATTGATTTAAATCCTTCCTTACTTTCTGAAACAGAAATTATGATTTGACATTGATATACCAAGGGAAAGTTGAATTTCAAAAATATTATTATACAAACTATAATTCCTGTATCAAAGTTTATTTGAGGATTTAGAAGAAACTGCAATTTCACATACGTGATCCATATTTTTTTCTCATTCTTAGTCTAGGCTATATTTGCTGAGAATACTTTCCTTTCATAGAAACTAAAATGTATCCAACAGTAAACAAGAACATCTTAGCTAGCAAGAGGTCCCTCCAAGTCTTTCAAAGTGGCCATTGTTATACATCTTACATCAAGTCCCTGTTAACCTAACCACTATTACACAATGGGGATGGATAATGTCATCGAATTGTGATAAACCATGCTTTCGTGTTGCTTAATCAAGAGATGTTGCTACTGCACGTCAAAGAAACAGAAGATGTAACAAGCATCACAATGTTGTCAGAAGGGTAGCCCAGAGAATTGATGCAAGAATGACTTTTTTAAATTCATTCTCTGTAAAAATAAAGCTATTCTAATCAATTTGTTGTAATATTCTGTAACCATTGACTATTTTTGGCACAACATATTAATTTGGCATGAACAATTGCCTGTTTTTTTATTTTAGAAGACCTGCAATCAACACTTGAGTTATAGACATAAGGGACCTCATTGTAATTAGTAAAAAGAAGTTTTGAATTTGCCTCAGATTTGACATGAGCACCAGATGAACATGGTTACAGAAGTACAGTAGTATAAATGACCACAATGAGGCTATGAGGGACAAGTACTAAGGTACCTAGTAAAATCCAGTGTCTATATCCTTCAATCAAGTTGGTTAAGTAGCATTTCAATAGTACTGCCTCTTTCTTTTTGAGGTTTCCCACTAGTGGCACCTCTTTCCTTTTGAGGTCTTTTACTTGGGACATGTCTGTCCCGTAACATTTCTATTGTCTCGTTTGTTTGCCTGTCCAGCTTTCTCTGTGGGACGTGACGAAAAGCTTTCATCCAGTCTCTTGTATCACGTAACTCTAGCATGATCTTCATCATTTGGTCAAGGGTCAGCGATTTATGACCCTTTCTAAATCTAAAATCACAAAAATGCATATTTCATGTAAGGATTTTGCTCTCTATTGTTTGCGCAAGTATTGTAGCTTTTTAGATTAGATTCTGACAATGGATATAATATGCAAAACATGCAGACAAATAAAATGAAATAACATTTATCATTTGTAAAGGCAGTATAACACTCAATATATAAACTTCCCAAAATCTTATCTAAATCCCCAAAACATTTGACATAACTAACTTCCCAAAATACACATAGGCAAAGGAACAGAGAAGATGGGCTATGGAGAAATGAATCCCCCAATCTCTGTATACAAAGTATAATATTGGTGATATGGTAAAACAGTAATTATCTGATTAAGATTCTTAAAAAGTCTTGCATAAAAGCCAGACTAATGGTGTTTACAACAATTTATTTTTGCTCCATCATTTAGGGTGCGCAACTGCGTACTCTCGCGCTTGCCTGGTTACGCGCATGCATTTTATAAAACTAGGGTTGTAACTAATTTCATTTATAATGAGCTCACATGAACATTCTTCCAGACATGTATGCAGGACAGTCACTATTAGTCATACACAAACAATGGTCCTACTTACTGTAAGTAATTATCTAGTGGGAGCTTTGCCATCTGAATTCTCTCCTCTTTAGCCTTCGCCATGGTCAATGGTTTGGATTCAGAGAGGTCCACTAAGCCACCAATGATATATACAGCATCACTGTCAAATTCCTTAAGAACATGGGGGGCATTTGGCGATAGGTACACCAGCTTTTCTTTAGGAAAAATATCCAGGTAACTTTTACTGGTTATTTCGCATAAAGGTTGTTGAACAAATTCGTTTTTTAATTTATCATTCAACCAAAGAGATGATTTGGAATCAGGTGCACAGTTACAGAAATGAATGTTAAATGGTTCATAATTCATCTTATTCTGACCATATGCCATGGCTATTTGTTCAACTGCACCGATGTTCTCTTTCTCCGTCATATATTCAGTGAATCCCATGTCGAAGACAATTGGTTGGCCAAACATCAAGGCTCGTACCAGTCCATTGTTCCAGTACCTTGACATATAGCTACGGTGAATTTTGATGTGAAGCCTGCTAATTATCTCATCGGGTTCCCCTGCCTCGGCACGTATTTGTCTCTGCAGCTCAAGATGCTCCTGTCTCTTTTGTTTCTTCTCTATTCTTTTATTCCGTTCTGACTCAATCTGGCATAAATAGCTAAACAATCTCTTTCTCCGACTTTGCGTATCTCCCTTCAAGACTTTTACCCACATGGAGTTTGTCATTTCCCGAGGCACTTTAAAGCTCAGAGACTGCGCTACATCATACTCTACTTGAACACGTTTGAATTTTTCTTGTTCATCAGTTGTAAGGTTTTGAATCCTTAAGGTAGCTTCATCTTCTATGTCTAGCTTATTTCCACGTTCTAAATCAATTTTTGTTGCCACATTGGACATAGCTATCATCTTATTTTTAGCAAATCCTGTACTAAATCCACAATTAGTATTATAAGTAGTTGTCTTTGTTAACGATTCAAATACCATTTCTCTTATCCTTGGAAATATCGATCGCAACATTTTGACACCAGATTTTACCTGAAAAATAGCAAAGAAATAGAAAATGTTAAAGAAAACAATTAACATAACAGATGATTTCTGTTTATGTAAAAGAGTATTCTATTTTTAAAAATTTGATGTATCCCTCCCTCCTTTCATAAACATCAATGTTTACAACTTTGAATATATAAGTTCCCAGTAAATCATGATACCTAACTGCATTACACATGAAACTATACACACTAAAAATATAGTTTCATTGTTGTTTTATTACTCATACTCAAAAAGCCATGCAATTTACTCAGTAAGTAGTACCTATTTTCTAAATTACATCTAAATAATTTTTAGTATCCTAAGTACACTAAGATGTGGGGCTCTCAATTTGATTTCAAATCTCAGGGGGAGGAAACCTGTAAAGCATTTTCGGCAAGAACAAAAGAAAATTTTCAGTTTTGACAACTAAAGTAAAGTTCTAGTTTTTCAATAAAGTGGGATTGACCATAGTATTTTTTAAAATCAAAATGGTTCTTTGATTATAACCCCAAATTGTGAAAAAAACTAGATAGATGGCTGTTAATTCATAACATCTGAATGCTCCCCGATGTACTGGGAATGTGATGAGCGTATTGCTACGTAACGAAACACTACAATGTTGACCATGATTTTCGTGACAACTTTGATCGTAAAAAAACATCTCTCTAGTGAGCAGTGAACACCTATCAACAGTGAACTTTTTTTCGGCAAAACCTTTTTCTCCCATTGACTCCCATGGTAAAGTACATTTATGTAGTGAACATCTACCTACTGTGAACAGTGACACTAAATCTTGGCAAAATCAATTAATTGAATTTTCCTGTCTCTAGTGAACAATGAATCAGATATAAGATTTCTTGTGGATTTTCCATGATTCCCTTATCAGTGTTAAGCAGTTTATGTTTATATTTCCTGTCAAAAAATAATTAAAAGGTCAATTTGAGATGTTGGTCTCCTCTTCTATTGAAAAAAGTGACTAATTATAATATCACAATAGTATTAGTTCAATCTTAAGTCAGGTTTGGATTTCTGAGAACTTGTAGATGATTTTGAAAAAAAATTGTTCAATATGAAGCAAGTTGACAAAAGACCCTTTTGGCTTGAGAAGGTCATTAAAGGTCAAATCTTTTTTGACCTTGAGAATGTCTAGAATGTCAGATTTGAACTTTTGCGAATATGTTGATGATTTTTGAAAAAAAATTGGTCAATTTGAAGCAAGTTGAAAAAAGACATTTTTGACCTTTTCTTGACCTTGAAAAGGTCATTAAAGGTCAAATCTTAAATCTTAACTCAGATTTGAAATTCTGATAATGTGTAGATGATTTTGAAAAAACAGTTGGTTTGGTTTTTTCAAATCTGAAATGTCAAGTCAGATTTGAACTTCTGAAAACTTGTAGATGATTTTGAAAAATAATTGAAATCAGTCTAAACAGTAATGTTAAATCACTGGAAGTTTTAAGAATATGTTACAGATGCCAACCGCTGCCCGCCGACCACCAACCACCAACCGCCGCCACAAAAAATGGAGACTTTTTGGTGGTAACATCATAAGCTTTGTTTTTGTAAGACAGGATATTCATCTAACATCAAATGGAGATAATCTGGTTAACTATAAGTACCTCGACCTGCTAAGCCCTAACTTAATCTTTTTCTCACCCCAGGGGCGGATCTGGGAACCAACAAGGGGGAGGGCCAAATTTCAGGTCAGAGAAAAAATCTTGCGCCCCTAAATTTGGGCCCCTAAAACCCAAAAGTGGGCCCAAATTTTGAAATTTTGAGGCCCATTTTCTTCAAAATTTGGCCTGAAATTAAAAAAATCAGTAATGACTAAAAAGGCCCACTTTTTGGGGCCTCAAGGCCTTTTTGGCCCCAACTTTTTCTCTGCACCCCCCCCCCCCCCCGATCCGCCAGTGCACCCCCATCAATTTATAAAACAGATTGGATTAAAATTAAAATGATCACCCTTAATTGACTCTATCATGTCCTTTAATTAATTCAATAAAGTCCTTCAACTGACTTAAATGTGTCAAGGATTCCACTATTTAAAGGATCATCACCGATGTCAATGAGATTATAAAGAATTACAAAGAGCAGTGTTTTTCCTAAGCATCGGACCATGGGACATCTCCGATGATGTTGACCCAGGACTGACGATTTATTCCAATCAACCAGTCCACAAGACCGTCCAAGTCCGATGGCTAAGATATGCACCAAAGTCTTACCTCAAACATCAGTCCGATTGTTGAACTTCATTTACTCAAGATTTTACTCATTATCACATCGAAAATCTTTAAAACAGACAGGATTTTTTGAAATATTTTTTTGAGTTTCAGGTCTGCAAACGAGGATAAATTGCGTAGCATAATCTATCAATAACTTCGAAAAACTGTTTTCTGATTGGTCGAAATGAATTGTGGGTAGCGACCATATGGTATTTCGCTCGATGTAAAATTTCTGATTATGGAAGCAAATTAACTGGGAATTCCAACACGGGGACTTCATTACTGTCCACTAACTATTAAATAAATATAATTATAACGAGAAATTATATGGGGATTCATAAATTGATCGAGTAGGATAAATGGAGGTTAAACAATCCCGGGTGAAGATACAAACTACATTTGTTTTCGTCCAGTGTAGCAAAAGTAATTTCCGGTTCCTGTATTAATTTTTTAAATTTCCTTTAGGTAAGTGCCAATACATATAGTTCTGAATTCGAAGTAACTTTAATATTTTAAGGACTGGTTGATTAAATCACTTGGACCTGTGATGTAGCAGAAGTTACAGGTCCAGATGACTGATGATGCTTAGCCTGGACTGGTTGAAATTTTGATATTGCCAGTCCATTGGTCCTGTGATTTATATTTGCTTAGGAAAAAACACTGACAAAGAGGTTAAAATTTGACAATAAAAGGATGAACCATTCAGATGACAGTCAGTCTAAAATAAGCCAGTTTATATAATAAACACAACAAAAAAGTATCGCTATAGTATCATGGGTTATGATAGGTAGAAAATACAAATTTAATTGATCATTCCCTCCTCTCCTTTAGCCTTGTTTAATAACTAAATCTCTTTATACAGTTATATAATACGGAATAATGCTCACTATACACAGGTTTTATTGTATGTTACATTGTAAAACTAAGCCAACAAATGGGACTCCCACTTACCTTATAGAAGTTAGAACGTATTGTTAAATGTGACCATAGCACCTTTACTTTGTTGATGATGAAGCATAAGCATAGTATTTGATAGAAATTAATGCATTTTTGAAGTTTTCTTTCTTCTTTGAACAACAAACCAAAAGTTTGTTCTCTGAGGTCCGAAAATCGTGAACACAATTTTTTTAATTCTTAGGCTCGCTGGATGTTTAGTATTCTTAAAATAAATCACTTGCATTGGCTTTGCTATAGTGAGAAGCTTACAGAACACAGGGAATCCCATTTGAAGGTGGCAATAAGTATGATTGAAGTAATGTATGATGATTCCAAGACCTGGGGATGAAGAAAAGGATCTTGTTTATTCTAAATACAGCACCAGGGCTGTCAACTTGGGACCATCTAACATGAGTGACTTCCAAATGTTGAACACCTTCCTTCAAACTTTGGACAGCGTCAGTGCACACTGGCAGATTTTGGACACCTAAAAATTTTCCAGTGTGCTTACGCTCGCTGTTCAATTCCATCAACGGGGGGGGGGGGGGGGGTTAGGTGTGAATATTTTCGAAACAAATGCGTGATATATACACATATTTTGTACCAAATCCGTGACATAAACGGCGATCGCGTGCAAAGACCGAACGGAATGCGTTCGCTTTTTTTCGCCGTTCGGTATTTTACCGTGTCGCGATTTCACAAAAAACAATTTTCAAAAATATCAACAAAATGCGTGATTTGCGTGATTTTTTGATCATACACGCTAAATTGATGCGTGATTTCTATTTTTCCAGCAAATGCGTGACAATCATGCCTAATGCGTTAGGGTTGACAGGGCAGCAGCACATCTTGACGCAGTTCATCGGGGATGCACAGGCATCAGAGAACTCACTTCCAAATCTATTGCCTCTACTAAATTTTACAGGATTTTTCATGTGACAAGATTTTTTCATATTTTGATTAATCCTCATACAAGTTTTGTGACTTCACCAAGTGGCATGGATTATCACAAGTATATTTTATCTATAACCAGGGCTTGCATTAACGGCATCCCGTACATGTTAAGGACTCAAAAAAAATAATTTGGAGGACGCAAAAATTGAAAATATTTCCGTTGATTGGACACAAATGGATTTTAGGTCAATACTACAATGTGTTTACAACGATACCTAACAAAAACATATAATTATGATCTCTCACCTTTATTTGAATTGTAAATAAGGCTCAACATGTTGAATATTTACAAATAATCATGATTCTCTCGAATTTTTTCGACTTTGTTTATTTTTAGATTTGAAACCATGACAGGCCACAGTTTTTCCTATTCAGAAACAAATATTAGGTTATTCATGAAATAAAATGTATTCATTGTCAAATGAACGAACATGCATTTATTCAGTCCGTACTTAACGTTTACTTCCGTTTTAAATTCGCGGCAAGAAATCAAAAACTGAAAGGTGTTTTGGTAAAAAATGCTTTTAAAATAAAGTTATACCTCAAAACAGGCTAGAAATAGGGGACACACTTTTTTTTCAAAGGACACACTTTTTTTTAAAAATTGCGTCCTTGGGACTCACAAATTTTCTAACCTAATGCAAGCGCTGACATTGTCATGTTCATATCAGGCTTTAATATTACCACGGTCATGACAGGCCTTACAACCATTGCCACAGTCATATAAGGCTTTAACATTACCACAATCATGTCAGGCCTTGCAAT